GCATGTAAAATAAGATTACAAATTTATTAAAAATTCTTTTATCTGTATTATATTTTTGCTTTATGTATATCTGCAATCACAAGCATACCTGGTGCTTACAGATGCTAGAACTCCAGCCATCCCAGGTGGATGTTTTTAGAGGCAGATCTGACTGGTAGAAGGTAGAGAGCTAGAACTTGCTGGAACCCTAGCTGAAAGGGACAGTTTTGTTTGTCAGATCATGACTACAAATTTGGGATGCTTACTTATTCCATATGAGACCATTGTTACTAAAACCTGTGGTCTAAAGCCAGTCACTGCAAGGGTTATTTCTACAAAGAGAACAATAGGGTAAGATGAGAGGCAGATGCTAAAGTGGTTTTAAATATGAGACTTCTTCAACAGAAAATCCCTGTGCCAGATACAGTATCTACTTGAAGGAACAAAGACATGTGCTTAACCTTTCAGTATTAGTCATTATGACACACAAGGAAACACATGATTTCCTGTCTGGTATGTTTGCTTGGGGGCCTGGAAATTCTGCAGAAATTCTCCAAAGGCATGCAGATTAATTCTAGAGTAAAATATGACTGTCTGTTTGCTTTCATTTCCTAGACCATAATCCCCACTCCCTACTGATGATCAAGTTTAATGTCTCTGAAGACCAGCTCAGTCCCTTTCACAGATACCTGAGAAGGTCTTTGGGGTGGAGACACTGGATATGTAGCTGTAGACAGATAGCTTGTGCTTCACATTTGCTAGCCATGCTCTGTGTGAGCCTAATTTGGTCACTGTACTTTCTGTCTCAGTATTCCAGTGACATCACATGTGGTAAATTAGTGTTGCCATAGCAATTCCTAAGTGCAAATAAGGCCCAAACATTGTGACAGGACAGCTGTCCATATCAGCCATATCTGTTACTACTTACCTATAGGAGAGAGTTCAGTAGACTTAGTCCCTAAGGACATGCAGTCATTAGGAGAACTTGTGCTGTCCATTCCTCCCTTTGCAGATCATAACATTCCTGTGAAATCTCAGAAGCCCATCAGAACAGTTAGCTAAGGGTTTGGGCATCTGTGCAGCTGTGTTCACTAGGCCGAGACTCAGAAGGACTTGCCCACATGACCTTGCCTAAATGTGGCTCTCATGGCAACACTGGCTGGTTCCATGAGGTAGAAGATTTAGACAGTTGCTAAATCATTCTTCTCTGTTAGCTCTAGCAGGTCAGATTCCAAGCATGTTCACACTCTCCAAGCTCACCTGGAGGTGGGATTCTGTAAGAGTGACCTGGAGACAGGACTTTTTGGTCATCAATCCCACTCTAGTAAAATTCTACAGTTCCATCTGCCTGACCCTTCCTGAATCACAAGATTTTCTTAGGGATGCATTTATGTTGAAATCCACACAGTCTGGGCTTTTTTATCCTTTGGATGAGTTACCCCATCACACATCCTACTCTCAACAAGGTGAAATCAGTTCAAAGATTTAAACAATGCAGTTTGTATCAACTGGGTGTGTTCTAAACTGACTGTTCAAACCCTAATGTGGGTAAGAAATAAAATAAAATGACATAAAACATTTTAAAAATTATGTATCCATCTGGATGTTGTTCAAAACAGCAAAGATTCATTGGTACACATTGTCTCTCTGCCACTGTGTACATACAACAGTAAGCTTTAGTGGATAGCTATTATAGCTCTGAGGGTATATGCCTATCAACCACAGTTACCCAGTAAGAGTTCCTTTAAAATAATAAAATTTCTAGCTCCGGTGTAAGTTGTCATCAGTGTTTTTAATCTTGGCCATTCTTACAGGTGTAGAATCTCAGAGTTGTTTTGATTTGCATTTATCTGATGACTAAGGATATTGCACTTTTTCCTTAAGTGTCTTTCAGCCATTTTAGATTCCTCTGTTGAGAGTTCTCTGTTTAGGTCTGTACTCCATATTTTTTATTGGATTATGTGTTCTTTTGGTGACCAATTTGTCACTGTGGCAATTTCTCAGAAAATTACAAAAAACCTTCTTCAAGACCCAGCAATACCACTTTTGGGTATATATCTAAAGGATGCTCAATAGTGCCACAAGGGCATGTGCTCAACTATGTTCATAACAGCATTGTTTTATTGGGAGAGAGGGTCCCTTTGTTCTGTCCCAGCTGCCTGGCTAGCTTATGACTGAAATAATTACACAAAACTGTATTTATTTAAACACAGCCTGGTCCATTAGCTCTATTTTTTTTATTGGCTACCTCATATATTAGTTTAACCCATCTCCATTAATGTGTATTACCACACGACTGTGGCTTACTGGCAAGATTCTAACCAGAGTCCATCTCAGGCAGGAGAACCCATGGCATCTGCCACTCTGTTCATTTTTTTAGCATTTAGTTTTGTCTACTCCACCTACCTAAGTTCTGTCCTATCAAAAGGCCAAGGCAGTTTCTTTTTTTTTGTTTCTTTTTTTTTTATTGAGAAAAGGGCAGTTTCTTTATTTAACCAATGAAAGCAACACATAAACAGAAGGACCTCCTACACCATTGTTTGTCATAGCCAGAACCTGGAAACAACCTAAATGCCCCTCGATCGAAGAATGGATAAGGAAAATGAGTTATATTTACATAATGGAGTGTTACTCAGCAGGAAAAATAATGACATCTTGAATTTTGAAGGAAAATGGATGGTTTAGAAAACATTATTTTGAGTGAGGTAACCCAGACAGAGAAAAATAATTATCACATGTACTCACTCATAGGTACTTTTTAAACCTAAAGCAAAGAAAACCACCCTACAAACCACAATCCCAGAGAATGTAGACAACAATGTGGACACTAAGAGAGACTTACATAGATCTAATTTACATAGAAAAAGACAAGATCTCCTGAGTGAATTAGGAGCATGGGGACCTTGGGTGAGGGTTGTAGGGGGTATGGAGAGACAGGGAGAGGAACAGAGAAAAATGTAGAGTGCAGTAAAAATCAATAAAAATGATAAAATTTAAAAAGCTTTTTTCTGTTTTACTTCTACTGTTATTCACTTTCACATTAATAACAAATGTAACAGTGAGCAGTGGTGTCAATCCATGCCTTTAATCCAAGCATTCAGGAGGCAGAGGCAGGTGGATCTTTATGAGTTTGAGGCCAGCCTCTTCAATAGAGTGATGCCCAGGACAGCCAAGGAGGTTGTTGTAGATGGCTGCCCAGACTCCCAAAATAATCACTCAGAAACTATATTGTTTAAATCACTGCTTTGCCAATAACTTAAGAATATTGCTAGCTAGCTGTTACATCTAGAATTAACCAATTCTTATTATTTTATATTGTACTACTTGGCTTGTGGCCTACAGGCAAGGTTCCAACCGGCAACTTGCATCTTTTCACTCTGGTGGCTATGTGGTGTCTCTCTAAAACTGCCTACTTTCTCTCTATATCTTTTCCAGCCTGGCTGTAGTCTCTTAAGCCATTGGCCGAAAACAGCTTCTTTCTTAACCAATAAAATCAATGCATATACAAAAGACCTTAGCACATCACAAGGCTGCACAGAGAAACTGTGTCTTGAAAAACCAAAAGAAAAAAGAACTAATAGAATATTCTCACCTTCAGTTGTGTGTACAAGAGTGATTGTATAGTAAGTTCAGCAGTATGCAGAGGGTACCAGAAGGTTAGGAAAAGAATTTCCAATCAAATGGACATTAGAAATAAGCTGGTGTAGCTATTCTAATAGCTGCCAAAATAGACTTCAAACTAAAATTAATCAAAAGAGATGAAGAAGCACATTTTATATGAGTCCATGAAGAAAACATCCATTAAGATGAAGTCTCAATTCCAAACATCTATGTCCCAGATACAAGGGTATGCACATTTGTAAAATAAACATTACTAAAGCTTAAATCATGCATCAAACAGCACAGAAGTGGAATGGTGGGGCATTTTGGAAGTGATTTGGAAGTGTACTACAGTTAAATCTCTCTGGAATCTACAAGAGTGACCCTAAGAATCCTAGTAGTGAGGCATAGGTAACCTGAACCAGCCATTTTCAACAACTACAGAAAATATCTAGCAGTGGGACTGGGGCAACAATCCAGCCACGAAATAGTTGACCTACAATCTATGCTTCCTGAAACATGTACTGGGGCAATGGGGGAACAGATTTTGTGGAATTGGTATACAAAAGGCTGATCCAAATTAAAGTTTATGCTTTGAGAGGAAGTTCTGACTTGATACTGCCTTGGATGGCCAGGAACCAGAGGCTGAACAGACAAGAAATTCAGGGTAGAATCAAACATGACTGGAAAAACATTTCAATAAAATGATTACTAATGAAATTCTGTTATACTACTAGATCAGTGTTCAGCCTGAAATTCATCAGCGAGGTATCATCCAGCAACATATGGGAGCAAATGCATAGACTTACTGCCAAACACTTGGCAGAGCCTGGAGAATCCCATAGAATAGAGGAAGGAAGGATTGACAGAATCAGATGAGTCAAGGACACTGTGAACACATGGAACACAAAAACAATTGAGCAAGGCTTATAAAGAATCACGGAGACCAAGGTGATAATCTTTGACCTTACATGATTTGAGCTAGGACCCTAGAATGTAAGTTATAGTAATGCAGATGGCTATTCTTCTGGAACTCTTAAAGGTAGAATAGGGGGACATCATTGACTCTTTTGCTTGCCTTTGGATCCTTTTCTTCCTAGAGGATTGCCATTCCCAGCTCTGATATGAGGGATGGTGGCAAGTTTAATATAACTTGCTATGCCATGTTCTGTGGATATCCCTGGAAGCCTGCTCATTATTTAAAGGCAAAGATGAGTGGCTCCAAGGTAGAGGTGAAATGAGGTCTTTCATTCCTGGTCTTTCCTTATACCCATATGTATCCCAGTATTATAGGTATGAGTCAGCATACTGGCTGTATCTGAGTAGTAAATAATCATTTTCAACACATAGTGTGTCTCCATTTTGTACCCCATTAATAAAGAAATATCTATACTCTGGTGTGTGATGAGAGCAGCGGTCACTCACTTATGATGACCCCAGGAAACTGGGAGACTGGTCTTTGAACTGAATCGGTTGGAGACCTCACACTTGTATTCTCCAGCATCCTCACTCCTGACAGGATCTATTTTGAGTCCACATTTTGTAGGAGACAGAGTCATCCTCTCTGTGAGCTGAAGATTCTTCTCATTGAAGATCCAACGGATGGAGACATCAGTGTCAGGTGAAATGCAGGTGAAGATCACAGATGTACCTCCAGAGACTGTGGTGTCAGTGATTCGCACAAAGGGCTGTGTCACATTCTCTGTGAAGAAACAGAGGAGAATACCAAATGACAGTAGTCCACAGAGTAAACCAGACCCTCTTTAGTCCACACTTTCTAAAACATCCAGCGGGGAGAATTTGGAGCTGTGACTATAGACATAACTTGTGGTTTGGATTTGCCACTCAGGAACTGTTTTTCCCAGATTTAGGCACTGTTTTCTGTGTCTCAGTTTCCCTGTAATAGAACACATAGTGGCTGGTCATTGCTGTGTTCATGAGTTGAACTTATTTATGAGCAATGATCTGAACTTGGGGTCGGGGAGCTGCTCACATTAGCAGTATCTGCTACTGTTTTCTTGCAGAAGAGAAGTCCCTAGGTTGGACCCCTCAGGGTGAGGGATCTGGAGCAGCTGCCTCCTCAGTTTCTTCCCTTTGTGCCTTGACCTTCCTGTGAAGTCTCATCAGCCCATCAGAGTAATAGGCTAATGGCCCAGACACCTTCCCACTGAATCTCAGAAGGAGTTGCACAGGTGACCTACCCAACTGCAGCTCTCATGGCAGTAAACAGCTGATTCTACACTCTATGGGACAGTCAGTAAAGCCTTGTTCCTGTTGATTGTAACAGGAAATCTGACCAAAACAGTGACATAAACTTTCCACTGTCACCTACTGTTCAGCCAGAGGCAAAGTTTTGGAGTCCAGGCTGACAGCCTCTGTGAGGACCCCATGGTTTAACTATTCAGCAACTGCCTGACCCCCTCTTTCTGAGGACATGTGCATGGTGAGAGCTGCAGTTGACATCCTGGGACTGAGTTTACACAGCACAGTTCCTCCTTTCTGTACGGAAAGGCAAGTGTGTGGTTCTGATCTATTACAGTTTGTCTACCCCGTTTGTGTCCTGCAGTAGAGACCCACACCGCAGTGGGGGTGGGACACAATGCAATGCAGGAGAGTGCAGTAACAGCCCAAATCTGACAGGTTAGTGTATGAAGTGGGATCAGACACTTTAAGCTCTTGGAGACCATAGAGAGTCACTTACTCTTTATAAAAAATTCCCCGTATTGTCTTGTAATTTTGAAATCTTTGCCCAAAACTATTAGTGTGTAGATTCCGGCATCTCTCTCTGTGAGATCCCAGAGTATAAGAGATCCATTACTGTATAAGGTTTTTCTGATTCTGTGTTCAGGCCCCCAGGAGATGGAATTTGTGGCTCTGTTGTATTTTACAATATGAAGGGTTGGAGCTCTATACGTTGCTCTGTGCCAGGAAAAGGCTTTCATTTCTTCTGGAAGATTATAAACTTGGAGAACTACGTCTTCCCCTTCAGCTGCATCGCGAGGCACCGGTTGGATCATGATTTGGGAAGAAGTGAAAGGGTTGCAGATCTGAGATTGGGAAGCTGGGAGGGAAAAGAGAAAAAAAGCCATCACATGGGGATCATTGTGCTTCGTGAAAAGATGGTGAACTCCATCCTGAGCAGATGGATTCATCACTTACCCTAGGGTTCCAGGTATGTGTGTTTCTCCTCCTCTTAAAGCAGGGCTGAAACATGACCTCCTTCTTTCCAACAGTGCCCCTGAATGTGTCATGTCCTCTGTGGAACAGTCTCTTTGGGTGTCTACATGGCTGCTCGCTCACTGCCCTTAGTCAGATACTGTACAGACTCATGAACACTGACATTTAAGATGATGCCTCCCCTGAACTCAACAGGTCTGGAACTTTCACTTTCTAGGTTTTTTTCTGTTTCTTTGAAGCAACACTCAACCCCTGACTTCACCTTATAGAAGCAATTCCTGTTGTGCCATATAGCCTTTAGGTCTGGGACTATATGGGGGCTTGCAGCAGTCTGATCTTCAAGGCAGGCTACATTCTTTAAAGGCTTGACCACTAGGCTGATTGTTTTTATATCAGCTTGACACCAGCTACAGTCATTTTTCAAGAAAAGAACTCAGTTGAAAATGCCACCACCAAATTGGCCTTTGGGCATAACTTTAGTACAGTTTTTAAACTGGGGCTGATGTAAGAATTTAGACCAATTCAGTCAGTTTAAGCCCTGGGCTGGGACTCCTGGGTGACATAAGAGAGCTGACTGAGCAAGCAAGTAGAGCAAGCCAATAGACAGCACTCCACCATGGTCTCTGTACCAGGTCCTGGATTTTAGTTATGACAATCTCAGTTGTAAGCTAATAAATACCACAGTTTGACATGGGATTCTAACACCATTGTTCCCTATCAGTTTTGAAAGAATTAAGAGAAGAACAATAGAAAAATGTTCTCCTGGGTGACTTTGCTCCAGTGTTGAAAAGATGACAGTACTCAAGGCTCCCTAGTCTAGAGCTCCAAGAGAGTGGGCTGAGGCTGACATCTTAGGCTGAATTACTTTCCATCAAGGTCTTCCTTGATGCAGGTGGAGTCAGATGACTGAAGCTGATCTATGGCCATTTGGCTCTACCAGTGTGTCCTTCACTAAGTGCTCAAACCTCAACATGGGGACCCAGAAGAGATGCTAGGCCAGCCATGACAGTCGTGTGTGTTTAAGCCCCACCTAAGCACCGAACAATCACAGGGAATCACTTACTGTCCACCTGGAGTTGCACTTGTGTGTATTCACTTCCCGCATCTGTTCTCAATATTCGTAGCATGTACAATCCAGAGTCTTTCCGAGTGACACGATTAAGCAGCAGGGATCCATCACTGTGCAATGTCTCTCTGCCACTGTATGCAGGTCCCCACACAGTTGCTTTCATATCTTGTATTAACCGGGTGGCCACAATATTCTTGAATTTAGCCCTTCCCTTGAACCAGACATAGCCTAAAATATTCTCTGGTGGATTGTGAACGAGTAGAACAACATTTCCCCCTTCAACCACGCATCGTGGCACTGATTCAATGGTGGGCTGGTCAGAGGTAGCAAGGCGTCCGCACTTCCAAAGGAAAGCTAGAAGGAAGAGAGAGATCCATTGAAACTGGAAGTTTTGTATTTGACTAAGATATGGTCTTCTGTCCTGAGCAGCTCTGTCCCTTGCTCAGCCTAGGTTTCTAGGTGGGTTTCTCTTTCCTACCCAGCTGACTGCTCACATTATAGTGTTAGGGCGATGCATGCCCAACCTCTTCCCCTACAGACCATGTGTCTTCACTCTCTGGCTTTATTGCTGCTCTGTTCCTCTTGGGCCTACAGCCAACACCTGAGTTATGAATTCATTTTCCAGCTTTTTTTTTAACTTCAAGTTAACTCAAACTGGGACATCATCATAAGAAGCACAAGTCGTCTTGGCTTTCTTCTGTTCATTTGTCTGAGTTTGTCAGACAATGAAGCAAATGCCTGTTTATATTGGATCATGTTAGTGATCCACACCATCTTGAATTTTTATTCAGACCATCAAGCTGAGAACATCAGTACTCAGAATATTGTGGTCATGAATATGAACTTGATGGAAGAATAATGTCTCCCCCACTCTTACTGTTTAATATTCTATGAGGATATCTTAATGCTCAGCCTCTCCCCCACTCTGCATCTTCTGACCTACAAATACCGAGGCTCCTCTCATGTCCTTGTGCCTCTCAGGAGACTCCACAGTATGTCAGTCCCTCCTCGCACACACTGGTCTCATCTGTGAGAAGAAGCCCTGGCATGTGGTGACCTTTTTCACAGGAGTACAGAGAGGACCACCATTGTCTCAGTCATCTTTCTGTCTCTATGAGGAACTTCTGCTCCACCACAGCTCCCAAGCTCTGCTGTTCTTCCCCCTTCTCAGCTGAGTCTCTTCCAGAAAGGAGCTCCTCCCAGAGTCTTATGGGCTGAGGGTGGGTCTGTTTTCAAAACACTGCCCTGGTGTTTTTAGTGCTGCCCCAATTTCCTTTCCCATTCTCTCCTGGTGTTTCTTTCCTCTAGAACAGAGTGAGAGTCAAGGCTACTGACCATCCCTGTGAGGAGAGATAATAGCAGCTGACTCAGGAACTGCACTCTGCTGTGTGCTGGTCTAGGCTCTGGCAGCTTGAAAAATGGAAAATCTGCATAACTGTGTGACAAAGAAACCCAGCTGGGTATCCAATCTGTCTCGTTTTCAATGCTCTGGAAACCTGGAATTTGCTCTCAGCAAGAAGGTGACAAAAACTGCCCTCGAGGTACAAAGGGACCAGGTGTGTGATGTGTGCAGAAAAAAATGAATCGATTCTCCTTAGAATGACTATCAGACTAATTTCTGGCTGAGGTCAAAGGCACAGAATGTGTCATGAGTCTCACATCTTTGGTGTGTGGGAGGAGGTGATTCTGGGAAAAAGGCTGCTAGATCCTTCAACCTGTGGATGATTTTCGACATGATTCTCCTACTTCTTCTGATTGCTGAACTGTATAATGGGTTTGCCCATGTGATCGATGGTCTTTCTGAGAGGCCTTGAACCTCTGTCTAGTTTATTCCCGATGGATACCATGGGATTCCCACAGGGAACACATGAAGTGGGAAGAGAGAACATGGTCTCCTGGTAGTGTAGCAGACACATTAAATAGCCAGTAGCTCTGAGAATGTTGAGACAATAGTTTTCTGGTCTGTAAGAACAGGGGTGAAACCAGGTTACTAGGATAGTTCCTGGTTTAGACAAGTATTTTTTTGCCAGTTCATTGTGTATCCCGATGACATCCCCGGTGATGACCAGGGGAACTACAGCTCATGTCTGCAAAGCTGTCAGATCAGAGTAGTCTGTAGCCATTTACCTGAAGGAGAGAATTCCCCTAGTTGGTCCTAGAGGACAGGCTCTGTGTTCTGAGTCCCTCTCCTTTGGGACCACAACCTTCATGTGAAATCTCACATGCCCAACGGGACAGTTAGCTAATGGCCTGGACACCTGTTGAGCTATGTTTCCCTACTGACTCTCTGAAGAAGATGGCTAAGGGATGAAACCTAGCCAAGGCTCTCAGGACAATGCACTCTCTAATTCCTCACTTCACAAGACATCGACTACCACGGAGCACTTTTCCCTGCCATTTAAAAGCTAAAGTCCAACACTTAGAAAATGCTCCTCATGGACACCTGGAGTTGAGTCTTGGACAGAGATCTTGAGCCAGGGCGTCCTGGTGCTCACATTTCTGAGGATTCTATGTTTTCCTCCACCAGGTACAATGCTAATTCCCTCAAAGTCTTTCTCAAGGAAACAAACCTGTGAGAATCCCTAGACTCTAGACAGAGGCTGTATCTTTGGCTGAGTTGCCTACCATACATCCACCTGTGTCAAGTGAAGTCAAATGAAGGATCCTGATTCTCTTGTCATTATTCTCCACCATTTGTTTCCCCACATTAAATGTTCAAACCCCACCATGGGGATACAATGCACAGGGAAGGCAGGTAAGCAGAGACCACTCTCCTGTATGTGTCCAGTGAAATGAACCTCACCTAGCTCACAGAGTTCTCAATGAATAACTTACCTTGCACGTAGAGGTACATGGTTATTGTTGATACAAATTTTCCACCTCTATCATAGGTTCGTAGGGTATAGAATCCTGCATCCTTCTGGGTGACCTTTTCAAGAAGCAGGGATCCATTGTGATATATTGTCTCTCTCCCGCTGTGCATAGGACCTGGCTTACTTAATTTTTTGTTCAGTACACACACTGCAATTTGTTGTTTCTTATTTCCCAGCCCTTTGAACCAGGCTACAGCTTTTATTTCCTCTGGCATATTTTGGACGAGGAAAAGGACATTATCTCCTTCAGCCACAGGAGTTGGCAGTAATTCAATGGTCACATTGGCAGTGGAAGACAGGTGCCAGGAGGTTAAAAGGGAGGCTAGAAGGGAATTGAGAGAAACCACCAATATTAAAGAAGTATGATCATTTCTCTGTTTGGTGAGTAAGTAGGACTGTGCCCACCCTATTTAGTAGACAGGAACAACATGACTTCATTGACTCAGAGTATTTCAGTGTGCCATTAACTCTTTCAGGTATTCTCTGCTCAGGTGTCTTTTTAGTTCCCCCTCAGTGTCCATCATCCCTCTTCACGTACCGTATATTTTTCCATTCAAAAATTTACACTTCCTTCTCTCATTCCATTCCCTTCCCGCTCACCCACTTAACCCTCCTCCTTTCTTTTCCCTCCTTAAGAGAAAGCAGGGAACCCTGACCTGTGGGAAGTCCAACCCTCCCCCCTCCACATGCCATAGAGTATTTGTTGTGAGGAGCAATGCCTCTCTGAACTCCTCCTCTGAAGACTCCACACTTTCTGATTTTTTCTCTGATCCCTTTGTGATTCTAGTCAACTCACGGTTTCCCATTGGATATGCTGACATCAGGTTTGAGAACCAGGACTTTTTTATTTTTTATTTTTGTTTTATGAGGCAGGTTTTATCTGTGTAGCTTTGCCTGTCCTGGATCTTGCTATATAGACCAGGCTGACTTTGAACTCACAGAGGTCACCTGCTTCTGCCTCCAGAGTGCTGGGATTAAGGGCTGAAGCAGAACTGCCAGTTCAGAACCAGGGACTTATAAGAGCAATATTATTCTGAATTGTTGGTAGGTTCATTTCCTAGAAAAGAATCAGACATAAATAAAGAAAAAATGGAAGGAAGGAAAGAGGAATGTGTCTCCATGAATTTCTCTTTATAATTCCTATGTTTGGGACTTATGACAGTACTTATATTTCAGTGTGAAATAAGTGATTTTAGATTTATTAATTTAAATATATGTGTGCAATTGTGCAGGCTGGTGTCTTCTTGTGTACATCTGAAGATGTATGCCCAAAATCTGTGTGAGGCCACATGTTCCAGGGTGTATATATGTGAGTTCTAACCAGAGCTCCTATGTGGATGGAAGATAGAGCCTGCAGGAACCTGTTCTCTCTGTCTACTGTGTGGGAGCAGAGGATTAGTTTCAGGTTACCGTATCTTCACACTCTGAATCATTTCACTAGCCCTCCCCTGTTTGATTTCTTTTTGGAGGGCCATACTGTCACAGTGGGAACATCTGTCTTCAGAACATTACAGCCAATGAAATTCACTGTGAATATGAAGTGCTTCAGGCTTTTCTCTTGCCATAATCACCTCCTATCCTCTGAGAGCTTCTGGATGGTGAGCCTCTGCCCCTCACTGTACCTTCTGCTCCATGAGCGCACACAGTAACCGACTCTCCTCTTAACATCTTGGTTTCTTTAGGAGACTCCAGCCTGCTTCTAAGTTCCCCTTCCAACAGAGTCAGAGAGTAGGTACCATTACCTGTGAGCAGAAGCCCCTGCCAGAGGGTACACCTCTTGTAGACAAGCACAGAGAACTCCATCAATGTTCTTACTCGTTGTTCTCCCTCTGAGGGGAAAAAATCTCAGCTCCAAAACAGAACTCAGGCTGTGCTGTTCTTCCTCCTTCTGCTCTGAGGTTCTTCTCAGACAGGAGACTGTTACAGGATCCAATGGGATATGAGTGGTGGGGTTCGAGTCCAAATCAATGCTCAATCCCGTCCACTCTCAGTGTTGCCCTGCATCTCACTCAACTTCCCTTTATGCTTCTTCTCCAAGGAACATATTGAGCAACAAGGTGATAAGCATCCCCACGCCCTCAGAGAACAATGACTCATCCCAGGGCTGACACCTGCTGTGTCCTTGCCTAGGGTCTGTCAGCACCAAAGAGGGAGCTTCCATCTTGTCTATGTGTCCACATGATACAGAGACCAAGCTGAGTACCCAGCCTACCCTGTGTTCTCAATGCTCTGGGAAGATGGTATTTTCTTAATTCTCGCAAGTAGTTGACAGAAATGTCTCTGACGGCTGGAAAGAGGCAGGCTGAATGATTACTAGGGATAAAGATCAATCCTTTATCACTAATGTCACCAGTCAAATTAATGATCTAGAAGAGAGGCCCATGGACAGTTGTGTGAGGAATTTCATGTGCTCAATGTTGGGCATGAGGTGACCTGTGTGTCTTTGAAAGGACTATGGGATCCTTCATTCTATGTTTCAAGACAACATTTTTCCATTATGTGTCGGATTTGCGCGTGTCCTCTCTGATTTTCCTGGGTCACCTTTGCTTTTTCCCAGGTGATTCCTTGGTTGTAATCAAGTCTTCCTCTATGAGAGAGGACAGGAGGGAGGAGACATTCACAGTACCCATGCAGAAAGGTGTTCTCAGACAAAGGAATGATACAGTCGGTCAGAAAATGGTCTAGGGAGGGAGTTCAAGGTTAGCAGGGACAGAGATGGAAGTCAGTCTGCTCAGGGAAAATATCCTCAGAGCGTTGAGAATATGCCCCACTAACATCCCCTGAAGATCACTGGAAGATCTGTAATTTCATGTCTAGAGCTACAGCAAACATGGTCAAAGAACCAAATAAGAACTTCCCTGATATGTTCCGCACAGGTAGTGTGCAGGGAACATCACTCCAATCACTGTGCTGTTCAGGACTTTTAATTTCTTCTTCTGTAGGATGGGTCTAGACAGGGTTTCAGATTTGCTCTGGTAAGACCAGAACTAACGTTGGAAGTAGTGTGAATCCAGAGGATGGGCATTCTCAGGAGGAGCCTTGTGCTCAGGAAATTTTGAAGGAAAGTCCTAGGATACTTCTTTTGAGGTTAGAAGGATAGGACACAGTTGTGCAGGACAGTGAATGCCTTTAATCCTATCATCAATAAGGAAGCAGAGACAGGAGAATATCTTCCAGCTAGCCTGGTTATGGAACAAGTTCCAAAACATTTGGTGTTACACAGAGAATTCCCATCTGGTTAAAAAAAAAGGAGAGGACACTTTTGTAGGGGGCTGCACCTGCACTTTCTGGCCAATCAATGTTGTCTAAATCCTACCATCTCTTTCTAAATTTACCTTCTTGCCCAGAGGGTGCCGAGGCGGTTTGCTCTTGAGTACAAATCACTTTGATTCAAATAGTCGTTTCTTCCCTATACACTGTTCTATGGTTCTTTCTCTTGGGGTGATAAAAACACCCAGAAAAAGAGCATTTTAGGAGAGAGAAAAGTCCATTTCCCTGTTGGAGTTGTTTTATATTTTATCACTAAAGGAAGTCAAGGCAGAATACATGTTGCTTGCTGGCTCATTCACTGGCTCACACTCTGGACATGCTTAGCTCATTTCTTTTACAACCAAGGACCTTTTGCCTATGAATGATGTTGTTTCAGTGGTTTGTGCCTCCTATATCAATTAGGACAATCACTCACAGAAATATACAGCCTGACTTGATTTGGTAGAGACTCTGTTATTTGTTGTTTGTTTGTTTTTGCATCCTGACCACAGTTTCCTCTCCTTCCTCTCCTCCCTGAAGCATGATTAATAAAATCTCAGAGACAGAAACTATGGTTCAACATGAATGTCAGAAATGCAAAGTACCCAGCCACTGGCTTTTATCTCTATCTCAGTTCCAAACGGCAATCTTGCCCTCAGGAATCTCAGAATGAGACCGAGCCTAAGAGCTGTCTCTCACATTTTATAATCCCTCTAGTTCTGGGATTAAGAGTATGCAGCACTACTGCCTGGTTTCTATGGCAAGCTATTGTGGCTACTGGGGTTAAAGATTTTTGTCATTGCTGCCTTGTTTGTAATGCTGCCCAGTGTGGATCCTTGGGCAAGCTTTACTTTTTTTTTTCTACTTTATTTTTTATTTTATTTTTTTTTGATTTTTTTTATTAAGAAAAGAAGAAAAAAAAGATAAACAAAAAACAAGTTTCCACCTCCTCCCAGCCTCCCATTTCCCTCCCCCTCCTCACACCCTTCTCCCCCTCCCCCCACTCCTCTCCCCCTCCCTCTCCAGTCCACAGAGCAGTCCAGGTTCCCTGCCCTGTGGTAAGTCCTAGGTCCTCCCCCATCCGTCCATATCTAGGAAGGTGAACATCCAAACTGGCTAGGCTTCCACAAAGCCAGCTCATTAAGTAGGATCAAAACCCCGTGCCATTGTCCTTGGTGTCTAATCAGCCCTCATTGTTCGCCATGTTCAGAGAGTCCGGTTTTATCCCATGCTTTTTCAGTCACAGTCCAGCTGGCCTTGGTGAGCTCCCAGTAGATCAGCTCCACTGTCTCAGTGGGTGGGTGCACGCCTCGTGGTCCCGACTTCTTTGCTCACATTCTCCCTCCTTCTGCTCCTCATTGGGACCTTGGGAGTTCAGTCCAGTGCTTATGTGTGGGTCTCTGTCTCTATTTCTATCCATCACCAGATGAAGGTTCTATGATGATATGCAAGATATTCGTCAGTATTGCTCTAGGATAGGGTCATTACAGATTCCCAATCCTTAGCTGCCCAAGGAACTAACTGGGAACCTCATCTTGGGCACTTGGGAGCCCCTCTAGTGTCAAGTCTCTTGCCCACCCTAAAGTGGCTCCCTTAACTAAGAATTGTGGTTCCGTGCTCCCCTATCCACCTTTCCTTTATCCCAATTCTCCTGATTCCCCAAGTCCCCCCTCCTAGATGCCCTTCAATGGAAGAATGGATGAAGAAAGTATGGAATATATACACGCTAGATTACTACGCTGCGGTAAAAAACAATGATTTCTCGAATTTTGCATGCAAATGGATGGAAATAGAAAACACTATCCTGAGTGAGGTGTCCCAGACCCAAAAAGATGAACATGTGATGTACTCGCTCATAATT